AACCAATTGGTAAGGCAAGCGTCCGGATCGACAAATACATTAGATATGTAGATTGATATCGAAAGAATGTATTTCTCTCTTGCTGGGAAAGGCGGATTTCCAATACTGATAAAAAAAGAGTATCCGAGACTGATAAAAAAAGTATTGGATATTGGATTGGTAAAAAGTATTCATTATTATTCAATGTCCTTTAAGATACAATTTAACAAAAACCTGGCTTAGTATATAGCTGCAATAGTAAAGATACCGAATAAGAGTTTCTATTCCTTATTTGCAAGGATAATATCTACAAACATCCATTTTTAGCCAAATAATTTATGTGTAAAAAAAGTCTTATACAGGGTGTTTCAAAACAAATGCGAAAAACTTTAGGGGGTGATTCCTTGTTCAAAATAAAGGGTAGTTTGCTTTATAAACGTTGGGTCAAAAGTCAACCATTAGGGAGATATCGCGGTACAAAGATGGCGGAAAAATAATGTTTTTATTTTTTATCTTGAAAACGAAAAGAGATATTGTATGCAAAAAGAAACTATTTAAATCTTTATAAAAATTATACCATTAATTAAATATACCATCATTATTTCCGCCCATATCCTAATTAATTACATACTTAATTATGTTCGTTAATAAATTATTCTAAATAAATGTGGATTTGAATCAAAATACAATATAATAATAAAGTTATGAAAATGAATGTCTCTGTTGTTATAAATAAGCATTGTAAAAATGAAATATCATTTTTAAGGTGTTACTTTTACCACACTGTTTAATACACACATACAAAATTCAGTTTTTAGTATTTGGAGTAAATTATTACATTAATCAACGCAAACAGTCAATTAATGTAGTTTGAATACTGGAATCATATTAGTTGGTCCTCTTTAACAAATATTTAAACAGTTTCTTCAATTTTAATAAACAAACAAACTATATCGACAATAGTAGTATCTGTACTCTTTAAAAATTTGGTACATCTTTAAAAATAATCTAAAATGTCAGTATTCCATGGGTATATTGATAAATGAGTTTTAAATTAAAGGAAATGCATTTTCACGGAAACTTGAAGAGATAATGGTAAGAGTAAAAAATGGTATAATACAATTTGATAGACAATTAAATTGTGCATCACAGAGTTCTCATAAAATATACAGGGTGTTCAATTTAAATTAAACAAGTTATTGCCGTTTAAAGATATTAATTATTTAAAATAAAATTTTTGGACGCTCTGTATAAGGTATAAAAATTTTGTGTACAGCACAATAACTGATCGATAAATAAACTTCAGTAAATATTTAGTATTAAAAACTTTGATACCCCAGGAGAAATGAAGCCTTAAAATTTGATTGCAATTTTACAAAATTGAAAATATTTCAAAAACGGTAAGGTTTAAGTGTAATAAACCTTTATCAAACTTACTTTATTTTAATCGTAGAAACTAAAAATGTAATAATATACAGGGTGTTCCATTTAACAAAACACAACTTTGATATTTTTTATTTATTTGGGACACTCTGTATCTTGTAAAAACATTTTTAAATTGTAGCCCTAATAGTCCTTCAACGAACCCAAAACTTACAATTTGTAAAAATCTAATCGTTTAGCTACAAAACTCCGTGTCGTATGTGGTGAACAACCCTGTAGATTACCACTGGAATCGCGTCACAGCCAGCTGATTTGTTGTTTTTAAGCTGTTTTATGGAGGCCATTATTTCCTGTCCTTTTATTGGGATATCTAATACATCGAGGCTGTTATACTGAGGTATTGTGTTTAGTGCTTCTATATTGGGGTTGTTTTCTTGGTTAAGGATATGACTGTAATGCTCTTTCCAGCGGTTTCTAATTTGCTCTTCCTCTTTTAGAAGTTCGCCATTTTGTGCCATGATTGGGCAGCTTAGCTTCTTGGTTAAGCCGTATACTTCTTTTACAGCCTCGAAGAATCTGATTAGCCTTTTCTGATCACCAGTTATCCTTTAATTGGCGCAGATTTCTTCGAAGCGTGTTGTTGGCTGCTTTTAAGTTGTCTACCAGCCTTGGATTGTGTGAATTTGCAGTGACTGCTTGATGTGCTCTATGCTTTTGTTCCAACAAGGTCTGTATATGAGGCATTTTCGTCAAACCGTGGTTGTTTCTTTTTGTTGAACTTTCCCAGTACTGCGGAAAGCCAACTGGTGGCTCTTATATATTACAAATCAAGCTGGAAATGATGTTGATGATATTTAAAGATTTAATGAACAGGAACAGGTAAACAAATTGTTATATAAAGAATACACGTCAGCATTGTCTAATTTATACATCCTTCCATAAAAAAATTGTGTTTAAAATATACAAGAAACTTCATGATTAATGTATATATTTCAGCGAACAAGTTTCAGCGTACTTTCTAATATTTACGGTTAGAGCTAGCCTAGGCTTAGCCGACTGGCTTTAAAGAAAAAGTATTAATCTCTAGCGCTACATTTTAAAAGATTTAAGTCCTACATTTATATTCCCCATTTTATCTTTTTTTTGTAGTGAAGAGAGAGAGAGAGAGAGAGAGTACCTATTTATCTACCTTTTTTAATGACACAGTATGTTACAAGCTTGATGGCCAGTAAAGCGACGTTAGATGAGCATACAGATTAGACGGGTGACCAATTGAATATTCCGATGGCAAACGTATGAAATATATCGAAACGCACTGCTCGCACCAAGGGAATCTAACAAAAAATTATATTACTACTGTTGACTGAAGAAATAAGAAGATGCGCAACCTTATGGACGATTTCGTGGCACAAAACCTGTCCGAGATGTAGCTGGCGATACCGTTGCCGCTAGTCAACATGTCCAAGATTTAGTTTAGCTCTGCGTCGCTGCTCGCTGATAGTCGTTTACAGCGCAGCGGGTAAAGAATACTGTACCATAGTTCTGCTTTCAGTTGACAGAGTGGGTGGTTGCCGGAGACAGGTTGCCAGAACTACAGATTAATCCGTAGATATACGGATTTTCGGTACATTACGTTAATAATACGGATTTTCTATCATTAAATAATTAAATAATTTAATATAATATTATATTATGATTAAACGAAGAACGGCGTCAGAGTTGGCTTGAAAATGAAGATCGCTGTTATTTCGTATGTAAAATATTATGATAAATGTCAATAGTCGTCTTTCCAAGCCAACTAAACGACTTTTTTCGATCATACGAAATATTCAGTACCTATAAAAAAGCCAAATCAGTCTTGTCACGAATTTACCTATTAGGTTGCGTATCTTACCAATTCTTTCAATCAACGTTACTACATTGATTTTTTCCTTGTAGTCTCGCATTAATTATCAGATTGCAAAATAAAAACACACAGACTAAAAGTTAGTCTGTGATAAAACTTAATATACAACAATATTAATTTTTCAAGTCAATGTCAGATTAATATGCTTTTAATAACAAAGACCTATTTTTAATTGTTTTTTCAAATCTTATCTTAATATTAATTCTAAACACACAAATATATAGTCCTGCTGTCAAGAAAATCCCCTGATAATATTTATTCTTCTATCTTGAATATCAAAGTGCTTGCAAAACAATACACTACAACATTTGCTGTTGAAACAAAAAAAATATAACGTACGATCGAAAAAATACGGCGTCAAATTTTTGTTGTTCATATTTTAAATTGTCATATTCAAGGGATTGTTCTTAAAATCAATGTCAAATTCATAGTATATAAAAAAACTAAAAGTAAAAAAATAAATAAGTATATAAAAGCAATATACAGAATAAGTCTTAAATAAGAGCAAATATTCTCTAATCTTGATAAAAGAAAAACATTTTCTCTTTATCATTTTTCAAATAAGTTCACAATAACCCAGTTATTTTACTTTGATTTGAAAATTAAAAAAAATAATGATTTTTTGCTTAATGTTTTGGATCTTTTCTGGGTTATCTCTCTTGTAAATTTAATCTACTACTATGTTGCTATAGTATCAAGATATTATGTTTTTTAACTTAAAATTAAAAAAATACAAAAAACTTTTTCAAAAAATTCCAAAATTTCAAATTTTTTTCGCGGAAAAAACTCGTAGACGTGTTTCTGGGGTCGAAATATACCAGCCCTAAAATATGTTCATTGATTTAAGACTTACTGTGTATAATTATTATTAGTCTTTATTAATAATCAATCATAATTTAATACTCTTTTTAATTTAATTTATAATTCACCTTGCAACTACGTACACTTCTTCCTGTACCTTGTTTGCTAAATATAGAATGACAAGGTAAGACTAAATTAAAACCAATAAAATTAAATATAACACCAGGAAGATTTAATAATTAAGCTATATAAATAAAAATAAAATGATGTTTCCTAAAGGCACTAGGTTTTCTCGTTTTACATCAAACAAATACCTGTACCTAGGTACTTATCTGGAAACAGGATAATTTAATAATAAATATTAAAGTGGCAATCATTTCATGCAGATATCCCGTATAATCTAAAAAACAGCGTCCAGTTGACTGGGAAATGACACTTGACTCTATATAGTTTATTTAAAATTGTACCTATATTTTAAACAATAATACTAACTTAATCAAAAAAAATGTGCCTACATTAATAAATATCATATCAACAATTATTTACATTTATTGTGTGTTCTTTGTCAACAAAAACATGTATTGTTATTTAGATGTCATTTTGTTCATTGGTACTTTCTAAGTTTGTCTATCTCTATGAGACTTTTAATCAAAAAGAGGATGTATATAAATCAACTTCTATACAATATAATAAGTTAGAATGTGGCTTATTAGTCATACTTATAAACTAAAATTCAAAATAACAACATAAGTATCAAAACTGTACAAAACATTCCTGTCTTTTAAGATTAGCAAGTGAATAAAATTTAGTGATTTTCCATGTAACAAAAGATTTATTGTGTAAATGAAAATGTATTTATAGATACATTTAATGGGAAGTTTACTTATTGAGAAACAACCAATGCAATAACTATGTACATTTCAGAACTTACCTCTTTCTTTAATTAAAGGAACGAGATGATCGAGTTGATATTCTTTTAACCAATTCTCCAAATCGCTCTCGAATGTCGACTGAAAGTCTTCCAACAAAGAAATCCGATAACTTAAATATAACGTACAACTAAAAATTAGAAATAAAACGGCTACTAAGATCGGTTTGGCACTATTCTTCATAATACAGTTATCGCTTATTGTTTACATTTTTTAATTTATAATTACTTAATAAACAATTCTATCCTTGAATCGAGACAAGGAACTCGGAAAATAAACGTCAAAAACAGCTGTCTTTAGTAGTGATGTGCCGGATATGACCGAAACAGTGCCCTCTATTAAAAGATCAGCCTACGGGCGGACTTTTGTTTACTTCATCAGCTGTACATACTTAGATATTGGGTTAGATTCCGTTTCATATTTTGTCGGTTGATTTTTGGTTTTAACTCTTTGATTTTTGGTATTATTTATTATTGTAGTGCAAAAAACTAATTATTTTGGTGTTGAAGTGACATAAACTACTACCAGATATATGGTCACTCTCGGTTTCGCATAAAAAATAGAAATTTTAAAAATTACACGTTGTGTAAGTGATTTAACCTAAAAGTGCCCATACATTTTTTACTTATCGTGATTTTGTGTGTGTGTCTTTTAAGACTCTAACAATTCATCAATAAAGCTTAAGTGGAGTGTGTTTTTGGTGCTATGCCTCATCTTTGTTGTGTTCCTGGTGGAAAGGATAGTTACTAAGGATAGTTATTATACTAGGCAGCCTAAAGTGTCCGGAAGAGCAAGAAAAGTGGGTTGAGTTATAAATCAAGAGAATTTTATTGAAAATATCTTTAATAAATTTAAAAATAATATTCTCCCATGATGGTATTAATGAAAACTGGACAATTATGTTTATTTTATTCATATTGTGGAATCTCCACTCCAAGTGTTGCTGGTTCAGCTTCGATAGATTCAAACACGTAAGTAGGTATTATGATCTAGGGAAAAATAAAGAATATGTGTATTAGAGATCATGAAAAAGATTATTATTTTGAGTTCAAATTTTAAAAAGATTTTTGTAAAGACAAGACTGATACAGTTTAAAAGAAGAATGTGTTTTGTTTGATAATATATAATGTATGTTAAGCATAACATATATTTGTTCAGTAATTTTTAATGAATAGTATTGATTATTTATAATACCAAATTAATATCAAATATTTAAGTGATGGCTGAATACAATATGAATAAAATAACAATAAAATTGGTATATTTGCATAATACAAAATTAAGTTTTAAGAATAAAGGTGTTACTAAAAATACTAAGAAATTCATATTTCTTTGTTTTAATTGGTCTAATGTTATTTACATTTTACGAGAATTATACCGTATCATCGAAAAAAATCGGCGTCTAGTTGACTTGGAAATGAACATCAATGACATTCCCTAAATAACTGTACACATAAAATAATTAACTAGAATTTTACAATCTTGGAAAATTTGATATTCTTGAACCTTGATTCTAAATATTCAAAATTTTTTGATTTTTTTGGAATTTAGGTTCGGGAAAAACGCTGATTGATTTTTCATTTGGTTTTTCATTATTTTTATTTGGTTTAAAAAAAACGGTTCGGCTAACATTATAGCCTCCATCAGTGTTGTGTCATATGAAAAAAATAGTGTCGAATATAATCCAAAAAATTGCATATAAAATATTCACACCACGCACATAATGTTTACTGCGTACTCCATAGTCAATGTAGATAATTTTAGTGTTAAGAATAATAATTTTTAAAAAATATGTGGTCATCTTTTTCATAAGTTTATATTAGTTTATTAATTGCAGTAAACATTATGAGGTGTGAATTATATTGTATATGTAATTTTGGATTATATTCGACACGATTTTTTCTCATATGACACAACACTGTGAAGGCTATAGTTAGCCGAAACGTTTTTTTTAAACCAAATAAAAATAATGAAAACCCAAATGAAAACTTAATCAGCGTTTTTCCCGAACCTAAAAATCCCAAGAAAATCAAAAATTTTAGAATAATTTAACATATAAAATGCCAGCGATCTTCATTTCATAGCCATCGCTGACGCCTTTTTTAGATAATATTGTATTATTTGTAAATATAATTTTTCCAACATTGATACTTGCAAAATATACATATAAATTTTGTGAATGCAAATAATAATACATCACTATTAGTAGATATTAAATGTTTTTTGTTAAATTAGATCGATTTTCAAACCCCAAAATTTAAAAATATATTTACATTTTACCCATTATCTTATGTACCTATACATTATTTGTACATTGTAAAACATTTGCTGCATTTGTATGGTTCATAGTTTATTTGCCAAAGTATTTATTACTATAAATAGGTATATATGTTGTAGTTATTAACTGTATATTATGTATATTTCATTTAAACTATATCATTTTTAAACGGCTACTAAGATCGGTTTGGCACTATTCTTCATAATACAGTTATCGCTTATTGTTTACATTTTTTAATTTATAATTACTTAATAAACAATTCTATCCTTGAATCGAGACAAGGAACTCGGAAAATAAACGTCAAAAACAGCTGTCTTTAGTAGTGATGTGCCGGATATGACCGAAAGTTCAAAAGAACTATTATAAAAGTAGGCATGCTCATTTTGGATATGATAAAAATATATAGGCAACTTAAATTACACATACTACACAAAAATAAATAAATCAGTATTTATATATGATTTTCCAAATCCATTTCGTTATCAGTGCCATCTAGCGTGGAAAATAAAAACTACAAATTTAAAAATTGATTGGAATGGTCAAATTTTGAATCACAACAAATAAGATTTTCGTTTAATACTATTATTGCGATTTATTTTATTTAAAATTTAGATAATTCATAATGATCTCAAACGATCCAAAAATAATATACGAAAACGATCAAGACAATCCCTTCACAGCCTTTGTAACGATGGAATATCTGCTGGACAAATTGAAACTTTTAAATTACGAAACTGAATTTCTAAAAGATATCAAGTTAAAACCAATACATAAGTATATTTATTATTAAATTACGTGTAATAATACACTATATCCTTATTTATTTCATAGATATTATTTTGTTATAACGAAAAACAGTGGAGAACAATTTTATTTATTTGCATTATTGGCGGCATGGTTAATTCGAAAGTGCGGTAAGAATTTTGATCCTCCTCAGGAAGATGACGATCCTAACAACACTATTGAGAGAATAATAAACGAAGTTACAGAAGCAGTGAGTTTTAATAAACTTTTTTTGATGTTTCGACTGATATAATTGTTTTTAAGGGCATGAAAGTGGAATTTTCTACAAGTAAAATTAAACAAGGTGTTGGAGAACATGTAGTTAACATATTGGATTTTCTGGCTAATATTGCAATTAAAAAACAGAACTTAATACTGCAAATGTAAGTAAATAGCAATTAATTATGTATTTTTATTGGTTACAACGTACTGAGTTAAAGCTAAAAGATATTTAATATTTTTACAGTCTAAACTTTCTATATTAGAGGGACAGGATTTAACAAACTGTTCTATAGATTTGTCGTTCTTAAAATCTATACATTTTAATGTCCTATTTACGTTCTTTAAAATATCAGAAAAGAATATATGATACTGGTATCCTAGTTGCAAAATTATTGTTAATGCTGGTTGTGTTGGACTACCTCTTATCGTAAAGGATTCTGAATCCCAGTTTATATCTATTGTCGATCTTTCTAATTGTGACAATTTGTTCTTCAGATCTTGATTAATTTTTGATAATTTATCTAGATTATTTTTAATAGATTCCAATTCTTGTTCAATATCAACTGAAAAAGTAGAGTTTTATTAATATTTTTGCATTATAATAATTAAACATATTCTTACTTAAGATTTTAGTTTTTAGCTGATTCTGTACTTGTTCAAAATCATTTATGTAACTAATCTTTGCTCTATCTACATAGCGTAACTGTTCCGCAAAGTTAGAAACAGCTTTTATGGGATTTTGAAGTTCTTTTAAAGTGGTTTTCCAACATTCTATGTGACTGGGCAATATGGAACAAAAAGCCACAATATGCTTTTGAACAACTCTTTCTTTGTCCTCCATATTTAACGAGATAGGAACTAAAATATTTGGATATATTAAGAAAAATAAATATTTATACAGGGTGTTCCTTCATGACATGCTAATATTTAAGGGGGTGATTCTTGGACCTATGTTAAGAAAAAAAACTTCATATGAATGTATGTCCTAAACATCTTAACTTTTAAGATACAGGGTGGTAAAAGTTTCTAAAAAATAACTTTTTCTCATACCTAATAACTCTGAGATTATTATCGTTATCGTTATCTTGATGAAACTTGATATACGTTTTCTATGCATCAAGGCATCAAGTGGTCTTTTTTGATGTACAAAAATATTTATTTATTTCAACCAGATGTAAAGGCGCATTCTCACGACTCGTGTACTTGACAAACATTTGTAATTGGTATACAGGGTATACACGGTGCGTCGGGCATCTATACAGAAGTTATTTGTTATAGGAGCTATTCCGCACTCCCGCTAGACCCTGTAGGCTAATAAAAAATATTTGCCAAATACACGGGTCGTCAGAATGCGCCTTCAATTTGCTTCCAGCCGATGCAGAAACGATCTCCAACAACAGTCACTGCATCAGATTTTAAGCGATTTGACCCTGGAGTAAAATAACTTTTTTTTTTTAAGCAAAAACCATGAGTCGGTCGAAAAAAAAGACAAGAGATAAAAATTGTTTAGAAATGAATGAAGATTTTGAAAATAGTTTATTTTAAGAGAAGTCAGTGGCGTACCATCCTTTTCTTCAAAAAAATTTAAAGTATTCAATACATACAGGGTGTCCCACTTAAGCTGGATACAATTCAATATCTTGGTTGTTTGTTGAACGATCTTTTTCATTATTGGCAGGAGGCTGTATGGCTATAAGACGTACATTTTGCCCAGGGTAAGAAATGCGATACCTCATAGACGTACGTTTTAATGGGGTTTCATATTTTTCGAGCCAAGAGTAAACTACCCTTAGGACAGTATTTATTTCAAATCTCATAAATTATATTGAATCCTCCTTACCAAAGATACTTGAGTTCTAATTTTTATAAATATTGATACAGGGTGTGTCATTAAAATAAGACATTTTTATTTTTATTATTATATTTTTTAAGTACTTACGACGCCACTGGATAAACAACTGGTTTATTATCAATAACCAATTATATCCAATTATCAATTAATAATCGATTTAAGTTTTCAGATAGCTTCCATAATAATTATGATACGATACAAAAAAACTAAATATTTTCAATTTATTTTGTTTACTTTAAAAAATTGTTTTATAAGTTTGCTATTTGGATTTTTTAAAATATTCCTCAATAAAACGAATAAAAATCATATTCAGATTCCATTGAAAACTGAGGTTTTAAATTATTTTGTAACTCATTTTATTCATTATTTGTATTAGTGAACTTAAAAAACAATTTTTTAAAGTAAACAAAATAAATTGAAAATATTTAGTTTTTTTATATCGTATTTTAATTATTATATGGAAGCTATCTGAAAACTTAAATCGATTATTAATTCATAATTGGTTATTGATAATAAACCAGTTGTTTATCCAGTGGCGTCGTAAGTACTTAAAAAATAATAAAAATAAAAATGTCTTATTTTAATAACACACCCTGTATCAATATTTATCAAAATTAGAACTTAAGTATCTTGGGTAAGGAGGATTCAATACAATTTATCAGATTTGAAATAAATACTGTCCTGCTAAGGGTAGTTTACTCTTGACTCGAAAAATATCAAACCCCATTAAAACGTACGTCTATGAGGTATCGCATTTCTTACCCTGGGCAAAATGTACGTCTTATAGCCATATAGCCTCCTGCCAAAAATGAAAAAGATCGCTCAACAAACAACCAAGATATATTGGCTTGTATCCATCTTAAGTGGGACACCCTGTATAAAACTTACTATGATAAAATCCCTAGGTGGTACATAAAAAAAAGACAATTATGATCCATAGAAGACGTATGTCAATAAGATTCATTAAATATATTGCTATAATAATATGAGAGTTACTATGAAACAGTTATTTTTAGAGAAAAATCGTGTATTTCAAAAGTTAAGATCATTACAACATACATTACTCATAAGAAGTTTTTTTTGAATAGATCTAAGATTCATCCTATTAAATATTAGCATGTCATTAATGAACATCCTGTATATTTTACAGGCCTAAGCCTCCAGAAGAAAAAGAACAAGAAACTGAAATGATTGATGATGAGTCTGAATTGAATTTGGATCGTGTTGAAGAGGAAATGATTGCGGCATATTCAGATGATTCCGATGAAGAAAATCTCTTCAGGCTGGATAATATCAAACCAGTAAGTGTTTTTATCTTCTTAACACTTTTAACTGTGCTTTACCAAATTTTCTAGGCAAAATCTGAACTGCAACAAATTGATTTAAAAGGCAACGTTGACGAGGAAAGCTGGAAATTGGAAGTGGAAAGGGTACTTCCCATGTTAAAAGTAACAATTAAAAATGAAAACAGGGATTGGAGGTATAGTGAAATCAATAAAAGTTGCATGCACTTTATCAAAGAGTCAAAGTTCATCAAAAATTATTAGAATTTGTTTTTGTAGTATGTAGTATCATAAACAAAGTAATAATGTAAAATAAAAAAAATATTGTATATTTATTGTGTCTAAAACTGAGTGAAAACTGGTGGCAAAATTACGAATTATGAAAAAAAGTACCCTTGGCACAATAATTCGTCAGATTCGCGTGTTAATGATTTTTTTTCCTAAATAGGTAATTATGTAAACTTTTCTTTTCAGGTCACATTTAGAGCAGATGAAAAACTATGAAAATCAAATCAACGAATCATTACCACCGACCAAAAATCACTTAGAAAAGTTATATAAAGAAGTGACATCGACTTTAGAAAAAATTGGAAACCGTGAAAAATACCTGAACAGAGAACTAGATAATGTTCTCGACACTTACAGGTATTTATTTATTAAATAGAGGAATAATATTCTAATAACTTTAACCTCTCTAGAACCTTACAAGATCAACTATCGAAAATCAAAGACAAATATAAAAATATTAGCACTGGGGTGGCAGAAAGAAATCGTGAACTTAATAAATTAAACGACAGAGTTGAATCAATTAAACAACAAATGGAAACACGTGGAAATTCTATGACAGATGGAAGTAAGAATAAATAAAGTGGAATTTATAATATAATGAACAAATAAGACTAGAAATAGTAGCACTTCAAACATTAAGTATGTTAATATAAAAAAATTACTTTTCTAGCTCCTTTGGTCAACATTAAGAAATCTGTTTCGAAAATAAAGCAAGAGATTGTTGATATGGATGTACGAATTGGAGTTCTCGAGTGCCTTCTATTACAAACTAAAATAAGGGAAGAAAAGCAAATTGAAACTGACTTTGGACAATCAATTTCAGTTTTTTAAATGAAATATTGTATAATATAGTTTAATTGGTCACTATGTATACTTTGAGGTTTTAATACATGCTTGTAAACTAAAATAAATAATAAATACCTATTCCTATTCTTAAAACAGCCAAAAATTATAAAAAAAATTACCAAAAATACAATCAAAAACATTGAAAACTAACCTAACTTTTTTTAACGACATCAGACGACATGAAGTTAGTACGAGTTAAGTCGTAGGCATTTTCAATTAAAATATATATGATGCCAATGTGTCTAATTTGTAATAAATGTAATATAAGTTTGTTTAATAATGTTATTATAGGTATATGTTACATCTTTTAATCTGTATATTTGAATTTATTTCTAAAAATGTTCTAACATAAATTATTTATAAACATTTATTAATTTTAATTTGAACTACTACCAAGGTCGCTATCGACCGACGTCAGCGAATTTCTGGGAAATGTTTGGAAGACACGTCAAATGTCAACGTCATTTGTTTATACGATTTGTCATCTTGCTGCTGTTTGAGATTATAATTTAACATTTTCTTTGCAAAAACAACTTCTCTACTTTAAGAAAAATGTCGGGTTTTGGCGACAATTTCGATCAAGGAGACGTAGACCCCGCGGCGGAATTTTTAGCCAGGGAACAAGACGAATTGGCCGGTTTGGAAGATGAAGTTAAACCTGCAGCAGTTGTTTCGTCCACCCTTGCGAACGGAGGTAAATTTCAGGGGGCGTAGGCTGCCTCTGTTGCACGATATTATATTTCTTATGATTATGTGTCACATAGATTACGTCCTGCATTTTGGAACTATTTGTTACTCCTTGTTTTTTGTGTTTATTTTAATATGCCCAGTTCGTGAGACTTATAGGCTTATTTTAATCCCATCCCATTTTATTTTTTTGCTTATTGTTTTTTCTTTGCTTTACATGTGAAGACGACCCAAGCAACTCAGCTGGAAGTTTCGAAATGGTTGAGAATTTCGATCAGGAAATAAAGAAGGAACAGGATATCGACTTTGATAAGAAAGAGACATATAATGGTAAGTAACACAGAACACACATTATAGTTTTTGCTCTGCTCTGTTAGATATATTCTTGTCTTATAGATATTATTTTATATTTATTTTTTGTACATTATATTATATTCAACTGCACATTAATACATTTTTTCTTAAACTATAGTCTCTCTGTCTAGTGAAAGAATATATGGTTTCAACAGATGAAAAAAATTACAGATAAATTAATGATTGTACTTTTAAATTAAAATGACGGACAGCTATCCCTACCATCCATATATTTTTTTATTTGACAGGCAGTACCTAGGAATTTTTATTGTAAATAAATACTGCAGTGAATATTTTAATAATTAGTCTGTTTAGCTGCTTTTCTTGAAGGTCTAGGTGGTTTACGTCTACTTCAAACTCAATTATTTAAAGATTTATAGAACTTTTTAAGAACTTTAAAATTACGTAGAGTACTTGAAGGAAAGCAGTTTTAAAGAAATAGTAGATACTGTTGTATTTAATAAATGTGGTAGTTTGATGCATTATTAGCATGATATAGTGTATTGCATTTTTACTGGTGTACTTATCTGTTTCTATTTTATTAGATGTATTTGGTGTAGACAGTGTACAAGAGTACCAAGATTTTGGTAAGCTTTGTGTTTTGTGCTGTTTTTTTTAGATACTTATGAATAATTTTAACAATTTTTTACTTCCGAAGACTTTTTTATTTAATATTTTACTTGCAGTGAATTTATTTGAAAGTAATGTGAAACTTTGTGAAAGGTTTATGATTGTATATATTTTTTTCGGAATATTACCACTATATTAAACAAAATCTAATAAAAAGTTGCTCAAGTGCTCTTTGCTTAAATACAAAATTTTTAAATCTACAAGAGAACACCTAAACTTAACATTCTGTGTGATAATATCTCCCCTAAAATATACCCTATAATCGAAAAAAAAAGTTGGCTTGAAAATGTACTATCTAATTTTAATATAAAATAACAGCGATCTTCATTTCCAAGCCCACTGTAACGTTTTTTTTTTATTATACCAATGAGTAACACTATACCACAAAGTTGATAAGCATTTAAAGAATTCATATTAATATACGATATTTTATAATATTGTCATTTTTGTTGGTTTTGTTGTCCATGGATTTCAAATTCAATAGTTTTTTTATCTTCAACAGATATTTTCATTTATAAGTAAGCTAGTAATAGCAAATTTATTTAGTTTCCAATATTAAGCATCAGTTAAATTACAATTTGTACTAATAACACTATTTAAAATAATAAACTGTAGTGTGTAAATAAATATTTTTAGTAATGATTAATGGGTAAATACTTATAATAGTGATTTATGTCTATTAATGGTTTTGTATGTATCTTAGTTTGTTGAAATTATTACTAACTTTAGGTAATAATTTTAGGTAGTGGAATATCACCACCAGTGTCACTTCACCAGCCTAGAGAGGAACCTGAAACTATCAAAAAATGGCGTGAAGAACAGGTTAAAAGATTAGAAGAAAAAGGTAATTTATTGACCATTTTTTTGTTTGTTTTGTATATGACTTTGGTATCTAGTGTAACAAAGTGTTTAAAATTTAATAATTGTTTTTTGAAATTGTAATGCTTACTATTTGCTTTTACTTACTCAACTTGAAACGCTTGAAACCTTTCACAGCTTTTTAATATTGTCAAAGAATATAGGATTATATTGTTATGATATACCCGATACCGGGTGCGTCTCATAAGCGGTTCACCCCTATAACTTTTTTATTTTTTAGATAAAAAAACGAGATTTGGTATATTAGTATATGACATAAATTTGGATTGATTGACGTATTCAATTGTTTTCGGTCACTTCCTGTTTCACCGGAAATGAGTACAACTTTTGATTTTTAAATGGCACCATCGGTATTTTTTTACTTTAATAGAAAATAAAACTCTGAATTTATTCAATAGAAAATAAAACTCCCATAAGGTTTATTTAAGATTATAACTTGCGGTTTGTAACGAAAATTTGACTCAAAATACGAAATGTGTGGTATCAAATTATTCGTAAAAGAATGCCTTTTCCAAATAATATACTAATGAGCCACCCTCATTCCATTTGAAAAAATTGAGATATGATTAAAAATACGATTTGAGCATTTTTTAACTGGGCAGGACAAGACACTAAAAACATTATACGATAAATCTATTTTTCCAAGGGGTCTTGATTAAGAATTAGTGTTTTTAACATAGCCTTGGCACTCTAAATTCAATTTTAAAATACAAATTTTTAATAAGCGAGAATGTCAAAAATTGACATATGATATGTCATTCTATTCAGAATGTCATTTTCTATCGAATAAAGTATTGTTACGGATTCCGTGGGTCCACTAATTTAAACTCACGATAAAATACTTAACGAATTTATTTTCTCACTTTATACACAATTACTAACTTATAACACACAACAAACTAACTATTTATAAGATTCCTTCACCAAATTGTCCGATTTTCAATTTCCACGCGGTATATTCAAATTTCAAAAAACTGTCTCAGTTGTCGATGGCTCCGGCTTATATACTCTATTGACTGCTTCTCGAAATTTCCCCAATTCTCGGAAAGCGTACTTCTTCATACCAGACAATTCTATTGTCTGATTCCCTTACTTCTCGACTTGACTAAAAGATGGCGCCTGAAAAAGTCTTTTAATTTCTGGCGGATGCGCCATTTTTCTTGACATTGCCCCCTTCTCAAATTTGATCGTCCCGATCAAGGTTTCCTGTCTGGTATCTCTTCAATCGATCCAGATGAACTACTTTCATCTTACTTCTAGGGCTGCGTTGAATCCGGTACACAACATCATTTATCCTCTTGATGACTGTATAAGGACCTTCCCATGCTGGAGTTAACTTTGGGGACCTTCCTTTCTTGCGCTGTGGGTTATACAACCATACCCTATCGTCCTGTTGAAATCCCGTAGAATTAGCTCTGAGGTCGTAATGAGCTTTCATCCGGTCACTGGCTAGCGCAATCTTACTTCTAACGGCCTTATGAATGTCCAATAATCTTTCCTTCCTAGCGATTCTTTCGAACGACAGTCCAACGCTATCCTGTTCCATTTCTTCCCCAGATCGAGTACTTGGTCTTTGTCTAGCTGCGCAAATCTTACAACGTTGACACCATTTCTTAACATCTTCGCAATAATCCACCCAGTAAAAACGGTCTCTCAGCTTACTCAAGGTCTTGTTTACTCCAAGATGGGCTCCAGTTTTACCACCGTGAATTTCTTCCAATACCTGGGTGACTTTCTTCCTTGGTACCAGTAACTGAGTTGTTACTGTCCTGCCATCCGCACTTTCCCACGTGCGCTTTATCAATCCATTCTCAATCACCAGTGAATTCCACTGAGCCCAGAGAGCTTTGAAAACGAGCCCTCTGTCCGCAATATCCTGCCACGGTGGTCTCTCGCCGTTACCTTCCTTGAGCCGTAGTATTGCTCCGATGTCTGGATCTTCCATTTGATCTTTCCTCAACTGTATCGTCGTCCATTGTTCGTCAGTTCTCAGTTTAAAATTCCTTACTCTGATAGTGCTTTCGCGATGTTTCATTTTCTTGCCCAAAGTAGCTCGTCGTCGATCTGGCTCGTTGTCGATAATTTGTACCCGTCCTACACGGCACCAGCGGTTTTCTCTAGTTTCCCGAACACAGTCTTCTTGGTATCACCAGGTATCATCACAATTTTCGATGATCTTTCTTCCATATTTCCTGGTCTCTTCTCTTTAGATACAGAAAATTCCTCATTTCCGATTTTCAGGATGTTTCTATGGCGATCAAACGAAAAACCATGTTGACTGATCACATCCATACCCATGATAAAATCATCTTCAATGTCAGCCACCAAAACGCTATGCCAAAACTTCAAATTCCCTAACTCCAATTCCATGAAAGCCTCTCCCCGTACAACGGCCATTTCCCCCGTAACTGTACGTAAAATACACTCTTCTTCTAAGAGGCATCATCTTCAATCCTTGTACCGAGTTAGTCCGCACCAACGATACCATAGCGCCTGTGTCCACAGTCATTCGAATTCTTCTACCATTGACCTTCCCGTTGATCACCAAACTGTCAGCGGTTTTTCCTAGACTCCTAACGGAAAACATCCTAAGGGCTCTGTTTTCTTCAGCCAATACTCGCTCATTAGTGTTGATTTCCTGGTGCCTATGTTCTCTCGATGGTAAACGGAATCGCATTTGGACGCGGCAATCCCGTTTGATGTGGCCATTCCTGCCACATCTATAGCAACTTATGTCCTGGGATCTTCCGATGTGCCGATGTTCTCTGGATGGTGAATGGAATCGCATTTGGATGCGACAATCCCGTTTTATGTGGCCATTCCTGCCACATCTATAGCAACTTACGTCCTGGGATCTTCCAATGTGCCGATGTTCTCTGGATGGTGAATGGAATCGCATTTGGATGCGACAATCTCGTTTGATGTGGCCATTCCTGCCGCATCCATAGCACCTCATATCCTGGAATCTTCTTTGATTCTCTGTCTGGGTGTTGTTGACTCCCTTGTTTATTAGTAGCTCACATAGTTTGTCGACTTTCTTACACATCTCCTCCAAACGTATGTGAGAACTTATTGGCTGTTCCTCAACCGTTACCGAGCCTATCTTCTGTTTAGGAATGGCGCTAAATGCAGCTTCTATTTCCAGCGCCCTGACGAGTACTTCGCTGCTGGTAGAAAATCGCGATATTTGCAGCGCCCTCTGTAATTCATTGTCCCTCAGTCCGCTGATAAAGCACTGAGCAGCCAGTTCTTCCCTAAATCCTTCCGGTGCTTCTGGATACGCTAGGTGTACCAGGCGACGTAAGTCTGCTTCGAATTCCTGCAGACTCTCTCCGGACCTCTGCAGGCGTGTCTTGATCTGTGCCTGGTAAAGTTGACGTCGATGTTGATCGCCATATCTTCTGTCCAATGCAGCAACCAAGGTTTCGTATTCCTGCTGTTGGGCTGCAGGAATAGTTTGCAGCAGTTCCAGGGCAGGGCCGCGCAGCGCGATGACAAGTGCCGCTGCTTTCTCCTGGTCAGTCCATCCGTTGGCAGCGGCGGCTGCCTCAAACTGACGGTGGTACATTGTCCATGTCGTTTGTCCATCGTAGGTCGGGGCCTTAAGGTTCGCTGTTCCAAAGACGCCAGGTGTCCTTGCATGTGCCTTGGTCTTCTGTATGTCCATCTCTAATTTTTCCATTTTCTGTTGAAGGCGCTCCTCCAGATCTTCTACGACTTCTTGGAAGTGGGCCTCTTGTCTTCGTTCCGAATTTTCGAGACTTTTCTGCATGCGGTCTTGATCTTCAATTTTTGTCCTTCTGGCGACGTACTTCTAAATCTTCAACAATTTTCTCCAACCGTTCTTGTCTAATTTCTTGATTTTCTAGAATTTTCTGAACACGGTCCTGTTCTTCTTGTCTTTCTCTATGACGTCGCTCCTCCAAACGAATTTCCAAATTTCCTATTATTTTCTCAAGCCGGTCCTGTTCTTCTTGTTTTTCTTTCTTTTGACGCGCTTCTAAACCTTCTAACATTTTTTCTTGATTTTCCCTAAGTATTTTCTGTAGGCGGTCTTGTTCCTCTTCTTTCTCTTTTTCTAGTCGGGCTCGCTCTTCTTCTCGTTCTTTACGTAGTCTTTCTTGTTCTTCTGCCTTCTCTCTTCTCATATTCTCCATAAAATCGCCCAATAATTTGCTTACTTCCTCCATTTTCTTCGCTTGCTCCCTTGTACCAACCATAAAAATACTCCAATTCGGTCTAAAAATCTTCCAATCCACTTAATTTCTTCTTAAAATCCTCTTGAATCGCACTTCCGACACCAATTGTTACGGATTCCGTGGGTCCACTAATTTAAACTCACGATAAAATACTTAACGAATTTATTTTCTCACTTTATACACAATTACTAACTTATAACACACAACAAACTAACTATTTATAAGATTCCTTCACCAAATTGTCCGATTTTCAATTTCCACGCGGTATATTCAAATTTCAAAACTGTCTCAGTTGTCGATGGCTCCGGCTTATATACTCTATTGACTGCTTCTCGAAATTTCCCCAATTCTCGGAAAGCGTACTTCTTCATACCAGACAATTCTATTGTCTGATTCCCTTACTTCTCGACTTGACTAAAAGATGGCGCCTGAAAAAGTCTTTTAATTTCTGGCGGATACGTTGCGGTTGTGCAGGCAACCAGTAATACATTTTTAATTTCTGGCGGATGCGCCATTTTTCTTGACAGTATAAAAATACCGAGGGTGCCGTTTAAAAATGGGCAAAAAACAGTTGTAATCATTTCCGGGAAAACAGAAAGTGACCAAAAACAATTGAATACGTCAACCAATCCTAATTTATGTCATATACTAACATACCAAATCGGGTTTTTTTTTATCTGAAAAAATAAAAAAGTTATAGGGGTGAGCCACTTTTGAGACGCACCCGGTCTAACAGTTTTAAATGGTCAAATTATTTGTTCTATTTGATTTATTGTACGTATGTATTCATATTATTTTTAGATAGAGAAGAAGAGAAGAAAAAAGAAGAACTGAGAGAGATAGCTAAGAAAGAACTGGAGGATTGGTACAAGAATCACGAGGAAATAATTGCAAAAACTAAAGCAGCCAATAGGTAAGTGTGTATTTATGAACATAACACTTTTTATATGCCTTTTTTAAAAAATATCTTTGAAGGGTTAATATTATCATCTTAACCATTTATGTATTATTTTGTGTAGTAGTGATTTAATAACTCTTAATTTAATTAGTTTATTTTAATTACTTTTTTATATGAACTAACTAATTATTCTGTAAATCATCAACGTATTTAATATACTAACAACTATATTTTTGTTTTTCTAACCAACTTAACAGGGACGCAGCAAAGTAAGTGGATTTTGAATATTTATTGGGTTGATGTATTGTTAATGTTTCTATAAAGTTATGGTACCATCAAAATTAAAATAATGAAAATATCATTTTTATTGTGAGTGTTGTTTTACCATGATAGTCGGAACACAGCCGCTGACATTCAGCGTAGAATTTCGCTGACCAGCAGCTTACGATATTCCCTAAACGGCACAAAGCAGCAGAAAGAACAAGAAACAGTAGCTGTCTCATGCGCTCTCTGTCTACTATAAAAATTTGAGAGAAATATAAATAAATCGTCTTCGTCAAATCGGCCTATAATCGATCTTTAGTCTTTAGAATAAAAATTATTTTGAAAAAAGAATTATTATTACTGGCTGATCATTTAATAATTGAAAATATATTATTTGACAATGCAGTATTAAGCATTAAATTTCTAAGAAATAACTGTTTATAAAAATAATTTTACCTATACACCTAAACAAAACAACTTAAAATAACAGGAACTGGCAGTTCGACCAAGTCACCTTTTACGCATTTTTTTTTTCGATGGCCTGGTAGAAATAAAATTACTGAAGGTGTAAATATCCTACAATAAAAAAACGACGTCAGGGTTGATGTGGAGGTGAAGAGAGCTGTTACTTTATATGTAAACTTATATAGGGAATATTATCGATCGTTATTTATAAGCCAACTAGGCGCATTTTTTTCGATCAGATGGTATTATGATTACAATCAAAAGTTATTTATGCTGATTTAGATTTTTTCAGAAAGGAGTATTTTTTCTTAATTTCATTGTATTTAGAAAATTCGACATGAGATGGAAATCAAGTTGAATTTTCTTTATTTCTTTAACTTTTTCGATCTTTATTTACAAGTCTTTTTCGAACGTTTTAGATTAACCTACCGCTTTGTAACTTTTTTTGGCAACAAAAATCTCCTATTTTTTAAAGATTCGATTAACTACGATTGACTACAAACCTCAACAAACCATAAAAAGTAAACAATAAACTGAGAAAATTAAAGTTATTTTACATTAGTTGACCACAGATAAGGAAATAGATTAAGGCTGACTTGTCTCAGCCTAAATATTTACCGCTGAGAATTTTGCACAGCGGCTGACTGTTGCTGTTCGTGAGAATAGACCGTTTAGGGAAATTGCTTACTCAGCCACTCAGCCGCTGACCGTCCCTGAACGCGCCCATTATATTTATGTTCCTTGAAACTACTGAAATAGATTTTTCTAGAAAGTAGTGATTGTATAGATCTGTCCAGCCAGAGAGTGAAGGATTTGATAGAAATGAGAAAATTTGGCAGGAAAATAAATAATTTTGGATTAACGTGGCAGTCAACAACTGTCACTTTCATATATATTCTTTTGTTTGACAGATTATACCAACTTATAAAGAACTTAGATGTATACCGTGTACGTCGCAAAAGTTGCTCACCCCTATAACTTTTTTTTCAGATAAAAAAAACGAAATTTGGTATGTTAGTATATGACATAAATTAGGATTGATTGACGTATTCAGTTGTTTTTAGTCACTTCCTGTTTCACCGGAAATTACTGCAACTTTTCATTTTTAAATGGCACTTTCAGTATATTTCTACTTTATTCGATAGAAAATTACACTCTGAATAGAGTGACATATTATCATATGTCAACTTTTGACATATTCGCATCTGGTCTATTTGAAATTGTGGTACCAAATTATTCGTAAAAAAATGATTTTTCCAAATTTGCTAATGAGCCACTCTTGTTTCGTTTGAAAAAATTGAGATTGATTAAAAATACGATTTGCGCGTTTCTAAACTGGCCAGGACAAAACACGAAACACATTATAGACGATCAAAATTATTTTTCCACGGCTCCTTGATTAAAAATTAGTGTTTGTAACATAGCCATGGCACTCTAGATTGAAATTTAAAATACGATTTGTTTTTAAGCGAAAAAGTCGTTTTTATTGTCGTTATTACTTCATTTCCAAGCCAACTCTGACGGCGTTCTTTGTTTAATCATTTAACATTATATTAAACTGTTTAATGATAGAAAATCCGTATTATTAACGTACTGTACCCAAAATCCGTAAATCTACCAAGCTATTTAAATTGTAGGCAAAATGTATTTTCTGTCAGTTTTTTACACGTCCTAAAACGAATAATTTATATCAAACAAAAATTTACAAAAAACAATAATTTATATCAACAAATATTTCACCTCTTTTTTTCACATATGAGCCATTGAAAACCAGAGTGGTCTAAGTAAAAAATGTAGTTTTGAGATATATGGCTTCAAAGTTAACGACTTACTGTAAAATACATAAGATATTAACATTGTAACTTTGGTATTGTAACAAAATGGGACCAAACCAAAAAAAATGTTTGCATAAAAGTACACACACCGGAAAAGTCTAGGGATATTACAATTTTATCCAGCCATCATCAGTAATTTTATTATTTGCATTTCTGATATAATAAAATTAAAATAAACAAATAGTTTACAGGACGTATTGGAAATAAAAATGCGAAATTTACTGAATTTTTCAAATTTACCTTGATTTTTATTGAACTCAAAAAAAAATACACATTTTTTTTTATTCTAAACTGTGAATTAAAAAAAAGAAGATAAAACCATTTTTACTTAATAAAGGCCTCCTCTACTGTTCATTACAGTCCTACATCGTCTCTCCATGCTTCTGATCAGGTTGTCGATCTCTTCTTGAGGTACAGCGTGCCACGCTGGATTCACGGCCCGAACCAGATCCCTACGAGTTTCACGAGGCATACCCATTCTCAAAATTCCTCTTTGGACCGCGTCCCATACGTGCTCGATGGGGTTGAGGTCAGGAGATTGTGCCGGCCAGGATAAGATGCTTAATTGATGAGCATTGATAAACTCACTTACCACTCTGGCTGTATGAGGCTGTGCATTGTCATGCATGAGAATGAAGTTTCTCCCAAAATCATTGGCATATGGTAACACGACAGGCTCAAAAATTAAATCACGATATGTGATTCCTGTTAGAAACCTTTCAAGAAAAACGAGATCGGTTTTTCGGCCTAACTGGACTCCTCCCCAGACCATAACTGTTCCACCTTGATAAGGGTGCACTTCCTGAACATGATCCAACCGAATAAAATTTCCCGTTTCTCTTCATACCCTAAGCCTTCTCGAATCCGGATGAATTCCAAAGCGTGACTCATCTGTGAAGAGAACATTGGCCCATTGTTCATTCGACCTGAACAAATCTCGTACTTCTCGATTTCCTCTCGTTAAGGGTTGAGCTCTCCAGGGGCGTCTGCTTCTTAAGTTGACCTCTCTTAATCTATTGCGAACAGTGTCAGGACTAACGGTTACATTATCTGTTTCCTGGAGAACTAAACTAAGCTCTGGTGTTGTAAAAGTCGGTCGGCGTCGAGCATTTAATTGTAAAAAATGATCTTGCTGAGGGGTAGTAATGCAATGTCGCCCTGTGTGCGTTTCAGCAACATCACCACTTTCACGGTAGCGTGCACTTAATCGCGATATTACACTTTGCGTTGTATTTAATGCTCTAGCTACGTCGATTTGGCGCATTCCAGCTTCAAGCATACCCATGGCTCTTAGCATTTCGTCTCTGTTAAGATGTCTACGCTCCATAATGTCGTTTAATACTAAACGTTATTTGAATGAATTTTGGCCAGTTATCATAAAAACATAGCCAGTACAGGTTAAATTCAAACAATTGATGCTAGGTGCTTTTTATACATTTGACAAAAAATGCACAAACACTTCTGCAAATATTCCAAATTTAGAAATAACTAGTGTCTACTAGTCTTTCTACTTCGTTTCAATCGAAGTAGAAAGAATCGGCCGACAAATATATGTGGTTGTTTATTCAAAACATTTATTTTTAACTTTAATAAAATGATATCCCTAGATTTTTCCGGTGTGTGTAGATGGTATTTTTTGTCTGTTTATTTTGTATTTTTGAATTTTTTGACTTGGACCATTCTGGCTTTCAATTGATTGAGACTATTAGTGCATAATCTAAAATAAGTCTTCATCTAAATAAAAAAATATATTTAAAAAAACTGTATCTATGTCTTACAAATGTTAATAAGATAATATAATGGTTTAACATGTTAAGAAATATATCTGATAGTATCAGAATTTTCAAAAACACTCTAGTTAAGCTCTTCATAGGACAGATTAGTTTCTAAACGTACTGTGTCATATTTGTCCTGGTTTAGAAAGAGAAAAGGTATATTTATTGCTTCTACAGCTTTAGGTGCTAAAAAATTCTAATGTACTGGCAGTATAAACTGAGATAGTTCTTAGATATTTTACTTTTTTTGCATTACAGGCAACCAAAATTCATGAACGATAGGTACGATTGAATCTTGACTCTGTTTTTCAACTGCTCATATCATCTTGTAGTGTTTGCCTGGCTTTTTTTGGACACACTGTATATGATAACTCTTGGATTATTCTAGAAATGCGGAGAAACAGTTTGTAGCCGAAGACGACGAGATCCAACCTGGAACGGAGTGGGAAAGAATCGCCAAACTTTGCGATTTCAACCCGAAAGCTAAACCTGGCAGCAAAGACGTTTCGCGCATGCGTTCTCTCATTCTTCAGATGAAGCAGAATCCTGTCCAAATCAAAAACAAGGCTTAGAACAAGAATCGTACTAACATTAATAGATAAATTGGATTAAAGTAATTATTTATACAAATGGAAGATGTTATGAAAAAGGTTCAGAAGATAAGCCTATATCCATTTCTTTTTTAAAGTTTTTTTCTTATATTAACTAACCTGGATTTTATATTATATAGCTTAAGTTTATCACCTTTCTGTGTTATTTGGTTCTTTATATTACAGATGTACATTTTTTATTGGTTTATAAAGGACAAGAAGATTGTAACGTTTAAGATCCTTTTTTTATTGTTGTAGGAAACTAAAGAAAAATAAATTTAGGAATAATGTATTTAAAAATAGAAGTTATATTGATGAATAAAACTGAGAAAAAAATATTTTGTTGCATTATTTTACATTATTTTTCACTCATTTATTTTTATTGCAGATAGGTTATGATACTTTTAATGACGCCTCTAATTAAATGTGCAAAAAACAAGTGTTGTGTTATTTTCAAAAATAAAAACAAGATTTTATCAGAAAGTATAGATATGTGTTGGTATAAGGAGGTGCTTAATAAAACAACAAAGATTAAACTAAACTCTGTTTGCTTACAGTACAAAATATAGTTTGTTCTATTTTAAAAATAAAGTTTTTATAAAATACCAATAAACATCGATTTTTTTACATTTATCGTTGCCTTTGACAAAATGGCGAAGGAATTAACTTATTTCTGATCCTGAATTACAATGGGTTGCAAAGTCATGTGTGGTGCAAACACTGCGGCGACTTTTTAAAAGGTTAAAAAAATTATGTAAAAAGGATGTTAAAAACTAAAAAGAAAACCGCAGCGTACGTCTGCTCTTCGTCTGGTGAACAATAGGTGTAGGTTCATGTAATTGTTTTTGCATGGACACCACTTAATTTAAGCAAAGATATGATATTTAAAAAATTAAGCAAATTACCACAGGCTAAAGATGTTCTGTAACGATATATCTGAAATTAAAACACCAAAATTTAATCAAAAACATGTACATTTATTAGTAATTAAATAGAGTGAAATTCCAGTTTGAAAATGAATAGGAAAAAGTAATTTAAAAAAATATACAATAAATTTATGTTATTTAACCGTAAAATAAATATCAGCAATTATAAATTACTAAACGTAATCGTTGTGTAAGTTTTATTAAAAAAGTTTCACTATAAAAGGTCGTAGAAAGTTAAGAAAAAAAAGGGCAAAAAGATTTCCAGAAAAGGGGAAACTCGCCAGTTCACACCAGCCTCCAACAGAGAATCTTCATGGAACCATTCAAAAAACCAAAAACTGCTCAAAAACTTCTGCTTAAAAAAATCGCGGCACCGTCGATTCCATATTCTCCATCCGCCAACTACAAGAAAAAGTAAAAGAGCAGCAGTCTAAACTTTATGTTGCATTCATCGACCTAAGAAAAGCCTCTACTCTGTGAACAGAGGTGCATTTTGGTCAATTATGAAAAAGTTTTGAGTACCCAACAACAAGTCAAGAGTGTCAATTAGTGAGCGATCCCTTCCTAACAAATACAGGAGTTAGGCAGGGATGTGTCTTAGCGCCTCTCCTATTCAACATATTCATGGCAGCGCTCTCCATTATAGTGGACAGCAAACTGCAGGAGAGAGGATTGGGCATCAGATACAGATACGACGGCGCTGAGCGGCGGTCTGTTCAACATGAAAAGAGCCAGGACAAAAACACGTACAGGGTGTCCCACTAAGAATAGCTCTCGGCTGTATCTCGGAAAGTATTAGCCGTAGGGCCTGCGGAAAAAAATATTTATAACTAACTAAAGAGGCTATGAGGAATTGCTGGAAATTATTTTTAAGTTTGTAGAACGGCCGCTAGGGGGCGCAACTGCAACAAAAAATAAGAAAATGGAGTTTTTACACAATTTTGTCTAGATAAGGTATACTATAAGTAATAGATTCATAATCTTCAGTGAATTTTCAATATTTTTTGTTAGAGCCATTTTCCCCTATCTACCAAAATAAAGTGGTGGGGGAAGGTTAGATCTGTTTTTATTTAAATATTAATAACTCCGGGCTGGATTATTGGAATCCAACAAGTGGGGGCTCGTTTAAAAGAACGTTTCTTACTCTATATATAAACAATAATAATAAGCGTTTGAACGTAGACGCTAGGGGGCGTTGTCTTACAATTTAACAAAAATAGCGTGTTTTTTCAAAAAAAAAAATAAATGCGATAGTATACGTAATTTTAGCTAATGGCAAAGAGTAATAAAAGCTTAACAAGTCAGCGAAAACCGCATCTTGATATCTTTTTTAAAATTATAATGAATACGAATATAAGCCCTTAATTACCTTATTTTGCTAACACGGTATTACTAGCCTTCTTGATTATGAACATTCTGACAAAAAATAAGATAGAAATTATTAGATTATTCTAAAATCGACAATATACCAGAATACCATAACACCAGATCTATTAATATCTTATAATTAAGATATCAATGACAGTTAATAAGAAACGACGCCTCAGTGAAGTCATGATAGGCTTTCGAAAAAAATTGCTTTTGACGTAATAGTATACAGGGGGGTGACAGTGAAATGGGAAAATTGGAAACAGTCATTAGTGTCATTCCTGTCATTCTCCTCACGACAGTATGGCCGCCTAGACAAGGACAGCATTGTTTTTGTCTAACTATTGTCTAACTTCACAGTTTAGAATTGACAGATTTCAGTTTCAGAGACAACTTCTGATTTGTTCTAGAACAAATTAGAAAATATTCGACGCCATTTTAATTCATTCCGTTTAGTTTCGTTTTGGAAGTTCAATTTAATATTTCAGCTGAAATTTATAAATATAAAGGTAATAAAGTATATAAAATATATATTACAGGAAGAATGCTGGAGAAAATGACGTTTCTGCAGTAGTAGGTATGTCCCATGTATATGAAAAATAGATAGTAAGTAAACACTGTTTTTACATTTTTTAGATGCAAGAAAATGGTGTTATAATCTCTTTGATCGGCGATTTTTTTGAAAATGGGAACAATTTACAGCAAGGTAAGATCATTTTTAACTATAGCCAACATTAGTTATCTCCAGTATGTGCGATTTGTTGTCAATAATGCAATAAATCGGACTGATAATCTGATTATGTTATCCGACTAAAAGTCTCTTTTTGCTTCTTTTTGATTTATAAGCCAGGTCTCTTTGGGAATAATGGATGCTTTTTTTAAACAGTATATTTATATATTTATACCTATTGATATTTTTACATTGTTAATTTTAGTATAAAAAAATTTGGTTTTCTGTTTTCAGGTTTTTGTTTAAGGCTCCCGTTTTCATGTTCCTGTGTCCGTTTTCTGTCCTTGAAGTCAGCGAATACGTGTGTTTATTTACAAATTACTGTAAGTCATGCTTATACCTTAACTAATTTACGTTAAAAGTGCATATAATTAACTAATTGGTATTGAAACAATACAATCCTCTATATTTTTATATTTATTTAGTCACGTTAATTGTTCCATATTTCAAATAAATATATTTGAATAAATTATTTTTTGGTTTTATTTATGAAAAGAAAAAATACAAAATACATTTGAACTGAAAGAGGGCCCGCTATTGAATAACCGGAAACGGAAATGAAAATTAAGCCATCATGTCCTTATCATGTCAACCTGTCAATTGGAAAATTAGTTCTCCAGACGACAACGAAGGCTTTCGGTGGCGTATCGTGTTTCCACGATTTAACACAGAGTTGACACTTCTTTCTAGTTAATTATTTTATGATAGTATAAACGTCAAAGTGTTATTAGATCAACATTTTGATAGTCTTAGCAGCGTTTTTTCTCTGTTGAAGAAAGGCATTTTTAGAGAAAAGCAATCAAAAGATAAAAAAAGGCTGCTGAGACTATCAAAATGTTGATATAATAATATTTTGATGTTTAAACTATCCGTTTAAAAGCAACTTTTTTCCAAAGCCTACCATGAATTCACTGAGGTGTCGTTTCTTGTCCACCGTCATTGGTATCTTAATTATTAGATATTAATACACCTAGTATTATGGTTTTCTGGTTCATTGTCGATATTTTGAATAAAATAATATTTTTTATATTATTTTTTGATATCGTGTTGAAAAATACGGTAATTAAGGGCTTATATTTTCGTATTTATTATAATTTTGCTAATAACTTTGGTTTGAAAAAAGATATCAAGATGCGGTTTTCGCTGACTTGTTAAACTTTTATTGCTCTTTACCATCAGCGAATATTACATATACTATCGTATTTAATTTTTTTGAAAAAACGCGCAATGTTTGTTAAATTGTAAGACAACGCCCCCTAACGTCTACGTTCAAACGTTTATTATTATTGTTTATATGGTACAATATAGAGTAAGAAACGCTCTTTTAAACGAGCCCTCGCTTGTTGAATTCCGATAATCCAGTCCGGAGTTATTAATATTTAAATAAAAACAGATCTAACCTCCCCCCCACCACTTTATTTTAGCAGATAAGGGAAAATGGTTCTAACAAAAAAGATGCAAAATTTACTGAAGATTATGAAGCTATTATTTATAGTACATCGTATCTAGGCAAAATTTCTTAATAATTCCATTTTGTTATTTTCCATAGCAGTTAGGCCCTCTAGCGGCCGTCCTACAAACTTGAAAATAATTTCCAGCAATTTCTCATGGTCTCATTAGTTATAAATATTTTTTCCCCAAGCTCTACGACTAATACTTTCCGAGATACAGCCGAGAGCTTAGTGGGACACCCGGTACAAAATTCATCACAGAACATCACTACGCTAATGACTGCGCTCTAGTTGCAAAAACGTTACAGCAATTACAAGAAATGTTAAACACATATACCTGGGCATACGAGGTTTTGGGCCTTAAGTTGAACATCGACAAAACTAAAATCATATGCACTCCCCCGGAAGGTCACAACAATGCTATAAAAATCGGAGAAAACTATTGGAATATGTAGCGGAATTCAATTACCTTCGCAAAGGCCAATATCGACTCTGAAATTCAGCACAGGATTAGCAGCGCCTCAAGAGCATTCTGGAAATTAAAAGACAGGGTTTTCTACGATCATGACATGCAGTGTACCGAGCAATTATAATCTCCAC